ACTCACAGCAACCCTATGTACAACAGCCCTAAACCCTGCTCTATCCTGTGCCAATCGCACTGCCTCTGACACACCCATCCCAATTACCCTAGTCACTGAATCAATCTACCTCACAGAGGGTCTTCCCCTCCTACACCATCTCTCCACCCTTCCAAGCATGATGTCCCTCTCCAAGGACCTGTCCCTCCTTACAACATGTCCAGAGAATGTCAGATGAAGCCCCAGAAACCTTGCCTCCAATGAGCAGCCTGTTTTAACCCTCTCCAGGATGAATCTGTTTGTTTTCTTGGCAGTCCAGGGTATATTCAATAATCTTCTCCAGCACCACAAATCAAAGTAATCAATTCTCCCTCCCTCTATCCTCCCTAGTCATTGTCTAACTCTCTGATGCATAACAAGTGATTGCAAAGACCATAGCCTGTATCAGATGAACCTTAGTCTTCAGAGTGACATCATTGCTCTTCAGTACCCTGCAGAGGTCCCTAATAGCAGACTTTCCCATTGCAATATGGTTTTTGATTTCCTGGCTGCTAGTGCCATGAGTTTTGACCATGAAGCCAAGCAAACTAAAGTTGTTAACAATCTCAATCTCCTCACCATCCATCCTGATGCTGCCAATTGACCCAGTGGTGAGAATCTTTGTCTTCTTGACATTGAGCCTCAATCCATACTGAAGCCTGCAGTCCTTGACCCTCTGCAGCAAGTGCATCAGGTCCTCCTCCGTTTCATCAAGCAGGATTGTGTCATCTGCATAACGCAGATTGTTAATAGATCTTCCACCAATCCTGACGCCACACTTCTCCTCATAGAGCCCAGCCTCTCGGATAATCTGTTCTGCATACAGGTTGAAAAGGTATGGACACATTCCTGGTGTACACCTTTCCCAATTTTGAACCATGCAGTGTTTTCCTGCTCTGTTCTGACCACTGCCTCTTGGTCCAAGTATAGGTTCTGCATTAGCACAATCAAGTGTTCTGGGATTTCCATTCTTCTCAGAGTCAGCCACAGTTTGTTATGATCCACAGACAAACGCCTTTGCATAATCAATGAAACACAGATATACATTCTTTGCCAACTCACTTCTGGTCCACTGAATAGGCAAAATATTCTATATCACTGACACAAAATGCACAAAATGTTGCTCATCTCAACTCATCTGATCTCAAATGATTTACATTTTAACACATTTTTTATGTTTTTGTTGGTGGTGGTTTTTTTTAAAATTAATTTTAATTAAAGTTTACAGAGACTTAGGGTTTCCAGCAATTAATTGTTGCACTTTTCTTCTTGCCCACTCCCTCCCCCTGTTCACTCTTCTCCTTGAAAAGTAAAAGAAAAATTCTTTCATTGTTATGCAATCCCTCGCCTCAAGTCCACTCCACTGTGCAGCCTTCATTCTGGACTCCTGTCATGACAATAATACCTAATCATTCATCCCTTTTAAATAGTTCTCACCCTCATCTGTTTCAATGCAGTATACATCATTCCTCCCCTCCTTCCCTGTCTTTGCTCAACCCCAATGTCAGTCCCATTTTACAACAGTGGCCCTATGCAATATTTGTCCTTTAGACTGAGATATTTCACTCAGCGTAATGTCTTCCACAGTCACCTATTTTGCATAATATTTCATGAGGTCCTTATTTTTCAATGCAGCATAGTATTCCATTGTGTGAATATACCAGAGCTTCTTTATCCATTCACTTGTTGATGACCACTTGGATTGTTTTCAGCTCTTTACTATTGTGAACAAAGCCACAATAAATATGGATATACATATATCTGCTTGGGTGGCAGTTATGGTTTCTTTAGGGCATATTCCCAGTAATGGAATTGCTGGGTCAAATGGTATTTCTATTTGCAACTTTTTGAGAAAGCGCCATACAACCTTCCATAGTGGTTGCACCGTTTTACATTCCCACCAACAGTGAATAAGGGTTCCAGTTTGTCCACAACCTCACCAGCATTTGATGTTTGCTGTTCTGTTAAGTTTTGCTATTCTTACTGGGGTGAGATGAATTTTAACACATTTTAACATTTACACTTTAACAAAGTATTCTGTATCACTGGCACAAAATGCATAAAATGCACAAAATGCTGCTAATCTCAACTCATCTGATCAATCTCAACTGATGTACATTTTAACACATCAAAGTTAAACTTACCAATAAGAAGTCTTCTTTGAGATACACCATATTGAGAACAGATTGTGCCTCAATTTCTGAGAAAATGGGTACAGGAAAGGAAATAACAAACAAGGCAAAACCAAAACAAAACAAACATCCAACAAGAAAATAGGTTGTATAAGGAAATAGGTTACTTCAGGAAAATAAAGGTGATAACAGAAGTCCTATTTCTCAGAACACTTCTGAAAACTGTGAGGTGGCAGGTCTCCCAGAAATGAGCAAACAGTCATTTCTCTGTACTTCTCACTGGGAGAAGCAGGCAATCAACCAACCACCTAGAGAAATCTGTGAATAAAGGAGCATGCCACAGAATCAGTAGCCATGAGTTTTACAGTGAGAAAGCCAGTCTTCCCTCCAACATAAAAAAAGCACCCTCTATGTGCCACTTTAGATTGAATTGGTGCTTATCCTGGAGGTGAGGTGAGAAGTGGGGCCTAGAAACAAGGCCTTGGTTACAGGTGAATGCTCTGGTGGTATGGGTGGTGAAGGAGCAGTACCAGAGGGCCTGGGGTACATTTCGAGTGAGTGGAGGCTGAGGGAACTTTTCATTAAGTATAGAGGAAGAAGTCCACATAAGAGAAATAAAGAGTAAGCAGAGGAGGATATAAACCCACACAGTATTGTCATAGAGCCGAGAGGGAAAAAGTAAAGTTGGAATAGGCAGTAGAGGTCAAATGTGGCAATGCCTAATTGTCAGATAAGGCTTGAGGAGTGTCTAAATATTTGAGGTATCCAGAAGTGTAGGTAGAGGGCCAGGAGGGAAGCCTAATCCAAACCACAAAGGTGTCCTGCCTTCTTGACTCCCTTTCTCCTCCTCACCACCCTGTACTATATACCAGGTCCATGTCCTTACTCTGAGGATGAACGAGCTCCCCTTGACAAGCCTGTGCTCCACACTCAACTTTGTGATTTTGCTAAATTGTCAGGATGCTGAGGCAACAGGAGTACGCAATCCATGAGCATGCAAGTCTTGAGACATTAAAATAAGGGTCTAAAGCCGTAAAGGCGTATACACCTATAATCTGCCAGTGCAAAGGCACGCAGTTAGATCCACAGGAGAAAAATGGGCAACTTCCTCCCTTTTTTACAGCCCCTGAAAATCCACTGGAGGGGCAGCTATGAGTCAGTTCCATCTCAGCAGTACACAACAACTACAACAACAACAACAACATCACTAAGAAGACCATGAAAATATTTACTGAAATTCTAAGTACAGACAGAATTTCATGTTCAAGGAAATAAAAGATGCTCTATTCTAAGTAGCACACAAGCAGCCTTATTGCCAAAATATAATCTGTATCTGTTTTGTAACATCAGGATTTGGTATGAATGTTATCACTGACAAGATACAAAATATAGTCTAGATTAATTTTCTAACAACCTCAGGGTTTGGTATGGATTTATCACTAGCAAGGCACAAAGTAGAATAGCTTGTTTATGTCAACAAACACACCACTGAAAAATTATTTTCTCTTAGCAACTTCCATGGGCTGTTTTCCCCGATTGTTTTGGAAGCATACAGATGTCAAAGAATTGCAATAATTGTTTGGTCAAAAGGAATGTGTTTTAGGAAAGATGTTTTGTTAAGTTTTAGCTGCCCTCCTTCATGGTAGGCCAGCCTGACCCAGGGCCCCCCCCTTTAGGTAGGTGCTCAGCTGCATTGACAGCCCCAGTTTATGCCCTGCACATTCCTCCTGCCCAGAGGCAGCACTGGGGACAGTTTAAGAGCAAGAGTCACTGGAAAAAGGGATGCCACACATGCCAGCTGTCAACAGTTATTACTCTGGGGAGTGGGAAGTGGGGTGGGTGAGAATGAAGAAGACCAAGAATAAAGAAGCAACTACTAAAGTTGAACTTAAATATGTTGGTGGAGATACATCAAAATCCTGTTTCCCACCTTCCAGTCCCTACTAATGTAACTTCAGGATTTGTCTGCATTTGTTTTAAAATCCTAAGCCACTTTGAAAGGCCTTGGTTTGAAAAGCCTTGAGTTTAGCACAAATTCCCAGGCAAAAGTCAACCTTACAGGGGTGTAGCCGGGGCCAAGTCTAGCTCCCATCTGTGCCTTTCCCATCCGCAGCGCCCCTCCCTCTACGGTTGGCACAAGGACCCCGAAGCTCCAGAACCTCTGTCTTCCTTCAGTGACATTTTATCAAAGATCTTCAGAGAAATGAGACGTCTCCCTAACAGCATGCTTTAAAGCAGCTGCCATAACCAAGCGAACAGATTTCACCGCAATTTGAGGAGGTCACGGGTTCGAGGGGCAGCTGAGTAGGCACCCAAGGGGCGCGAGAAGACCTAGTGAACTCCAGCTCTCTGAGCCCAAGCCAAATCCCAACTTCAACTCTACCCTCAACCCCAACCTTAGCTGTAACCACTGCCTCACTCTAATCCCAAACATACGCCCAACTACAACACAGTTCCAACTCTACCCCCAACTTGAACCCTAACATCAACCTTAACCTCACCCTAATCTCAACCCTACCAACTACCCTATCCTGAACTCCAATCCCAGTTCCAACTGTACCCTTAACCCCAACACTAACCCCAACCGCAACCCCACTCTAATCTCAACTTCAAATCTAATCTCAACCCCTATCCTAGTTGTAACTCTACCCCCTCAACCCAAACTCTAACCCCAGCCCCAGCCCCAACATAACCCTTCACCCCAAGAGCGGCCCTCCTCCTGCGAGCCGGCTCCAGAGACCCTTGAAGCGCAGGCCCGGTGCTGATCCCCTTAGGCTCAGCCACTCCGCCGCCATCCACCGCTACTGCCTTCTCCCCAGATTCCCGCTCCTCGGCAATGCTGCCCTTCACTCCCACAGGCACGAGTGGGAACACACGGCCGCATGCTGGGAACATGGGCGCAGGCAGGGCGGGGACCGCGGGGTGAGGGGACGCAGGAGCGGAGACTGCGACGCGAGGGACCCGCACACTCGCCTGAGCAGGGATCCGGCGCAGTCCCGAACGGTCTCCATCGCGGTGCCACCTCGGAGGCTGACAAGGACAAGCCTGGCTCCGCGCGCCGCCCCTTAAGGAGCGCGCCTCCCCCGCCCTCCCGGCTGTGGCCGGGAGGCGTGGCAGGCTTGCGGGCCGGGGGCTGCAGATCTGGGGCCCTCAGATAGCTCCCGCGAGGAATAGCGCCCACAGCGCTCCACTCAGGGGCTCTGTGACCGCTTTGTCTCCGTGACTCGATGGCACCTAATAAGAAGATAGGAATCTAGGGAGATCGGTGACCTCATCATTCCACAGCAGCAGAAATAGTCTTTGGAAAGGTGAGCAGGAAGTTTCTGTTTAAATCCACTACCAAGAAGCTCTAGTGACCTAGTGGTAAAAAAACTGCATTGCAATACCAAAGGCAGACGGTTCGAATCCACCAGCTGATCTGCAAGAGAAGGATGGGCAATCTCCTCCCATTCGACTGCCTCTGAAAACCCTCCTGAGGATCAGCTATGGGTCGGTTCCAACTCAAAGGAACATATCAGCAACTACCAAGAAGCTGTTGTCCGAATGAGCATACCTATTCAATCTGTATGGGGAGTAAATTATTCAAGAAGCTGGACTCTATGAGGAAGAGTGCCCCTAAGAGCTCTTTGGAGGCAAGGATGATGAGGCTTCGCCTCACACACTTTGGGTATGTTGCTATTCCTTGGAGAAGGACATGATGTTGGGAAGAGTGGAAGGCTGGTGAAGGAGAGGAAGACCTTCAACCAAGTGGATTGACACAGTGACTTCTGCAATGGGCAATCGTATATGAAGAAATGTGAGGAAGGCACAGGAAAGGACAGGGTTCAGATCTGTTATTCATAGGTTCTCTATGGGTCATATTCAACGCGACAGCACCAATGTGGCATCAGGATTGGAGGGATACTCATCAACAACTTAACAACAACAAAATATGCAGATGACATAACTTTGCTTGCTGAAAGTGGAAAGGCTATGAAATGCTTGCTGCAGAAGGTTAAGGACTACAGCCTTCAGTATGGATTCTATCTCAACATTAAGAAAACAAAGATCCTCACCATAGGACCAATAGTCAACATTATGATAAAGGATTGAAACTATCAATTATTTAATCTTCCTTGGATCACTAATCAGCACTTGAGGTACCAACAGTCAGGAAATCAGGAGATATATTGCACTGGTCAAGTCTGCTGTGTCTCCAGAATATTGAAAAACAATGATATCAGTTTGAAGATTAAGATGTGCCCAATTCAGACCATGGCCTTCTCAATCACATGCCATGAAAAGAAGAGTTGATTGATGTCTTTGTGTTATGGTGTTGGAGAAAAGGACTGAATATACCATAGGCTGATGAAAGAACAAATAGAATTGTTTTGGTAAAAGTGAAACTAGAGTGTTCCATGGAATGAAATTTTGTCTCATACACTTTGAGCATGTTGTTAAGAGGAGCCAGTTCTTGGAGGAGGATATCATGCTAGGAATGGTGGAGGGTCAGAGAAAGAGAGGAAGATCTTCAACCAGATGGATTGACATAGTGATTATAGTAATGGGCTCAAGTCTGCTGAAGATGGCACAGGATAGGACAGATTTCAGATCTGTTGTTCATAGGACTGTTATGAGCCATAGTTGACTCAATAGTACACAACCACCACCCAGCTTGGGAGAGTGAGGCACAAAAATGTATTTTAATGACCACGGCATGTGTTGAGGGTGCCACTAGGAGCTGGCTGGACTGCTGGGAAAGTGGAGGGAGTGATTCAGCGTGATCCATTGGGTTTCTTGAGGTGTCTGACTTCCTTCTTGTTCACCTGCATTCAAGTCCTGTGGACCCGTGGGAGAGGGAGGCAGGGGTTTTGGAACTGGAGATGTGAAGGAGTATCTGGGTCTGCATCAACTAGCTTTTAGATAAGCATGAAGGGAATTCTCTAAGAAAGGAAGTGATGAGAAAAGCTGGCTCAGGGCTGAGGAGCGAACTCTCTCTGTAACCTGTTTGTAGATGCTTCTATTAAGATGCAATTAGGCCTCAAGGTGGATCACACACCTAGGAGTAAGACCTGAAATGATAAAGATCATCAAAGAAAAAACTGGGGGGTATATTTAGAAACTCTAATCTATGGCATAGGGAGCTCTGGTGGCCTGTTATTGTTAAGTGCCTTCGAGTCGTAGGTGACTCATGGCAACCCTATGAATGAAAGACCTGAACACTTGTATGACTTCCATCGTTTCTCCAGGTTCATAGGTTCCCGGAGGCAAGCTATTTCAGAAGTGAACGCCACTCCTGCTTCCAAGCTTGTTTTAATCGGGGAGCTCCACCAAACATTGTCCACCATGGGTAACCATTCTCGCATTTGACACATCAGTTTCACAGTGTTCAGCATCACAGCAACCATGAGTTACAGTACAGCAAGTGGACACACCAGGACTATACGACCTAGAAGAATGTTTGACCAAACCCAATTAAAACCAGGCCTGAGTGCCACAGATTAAAGTCACCCATCTTTGGGTAACATCACTTTCTGTCCACGAGGCCAACTGAGCTCTCTCTATGTTGTTGTTGTTGCTGTTAAGTGACATCGAGTCATAAGCAACTCACAGCGATCCTATGAACAAAAGACCTGAACACGTGTATGGTTTTCATTGTTTCTCCAGCTTCATAGGGTTCCAGAGGCAAGCTGTTTCAGAAGTGGATTCCACTCACTCCTGCTTCCAAGCTTGTTTTGAACTGCCAAACCAAAAATACGCAGTTCAAACCCACCAGCTGCCTGGCAGAACAAAGATGAGCTATTTCTGTCAGTGTAACTTACAATGTCCGAAAACTTGCTAGGAGATCAACTATGAGTCAGAATCAATTGGACAGCACACAACAAAAACAACACAATCTATGGCATAATTAGTCAATTAAATACAACTGAAAATTACCAATCAGCAGAGGATAAACTAGACGACTGGGACCTCTTAAAAACAAAATCTTCATGTGCAACTAAAGACTTCTACAAAAGAGTAAAAAGAGGAACTACAGACTGAGAAATATATTTGGCAATAACATATCTGACAAGGGTCGAATATCTAAAATGTAAAGAAAACTCCAACATCTCAACAAGAAAAAGACAAACAACTCAGGTGGGAAATGGACAGAGGACATGAACAGACACTTCACCAAAGAAGACATTCAGTTGGCCAACAAATATGTGAAGAAATGCTCAAGATCATCAGCTATTAATGGCTGTTTTGTGCTGTCAAACTGGAACTGACTAGTAGCTGATAATCATTGACTATAAATCAGAAGGAAAGAGACTGCCCATTTTTCCCCCACACAGCAGCTGTGGTATTTGAACCACATGCCTTCTAGTTGGTACTGTGACTCCTTACCAGTAGGTTACCAGAGCTCCCTTAGCTATTATTGTTGTTAGGTGCTGCTGAGTTGAATACAACTCACAGTGACACTAAGAAGGACAGATCTAAACCCTGTCCTATCCTGTGCCATCCTCATAATTTCTGATATACTCAAGCCCATTGTAGCAGTCACCTTATCAACCCTCTGATTGAGGCCTTTCTTTCTTTGTGCAACCCTCCGCCTTTCCAAACATGATGTCCCCCTCCAAGGAATAGGCTCTCCCCACAACATTACAAAGTAAGTGAGATGAAGCTTTGTCATCTTTGCCTCCAGCAAACTCTCTGGCTGTACTTTCTCCAAGAGATATCTATTTGTTTTTTTGACAGTCTGTGGGGTCAAAGACATAAATTCTTATTTTTTTAAAATAAAATTTTTATTATACTAGCCTTATTGCAAAATTCATATACATTGTTTTTCCTTATAGAATTTTTCCCTATTCCTTTACTGACCCCTCCCTCTACCCATCAAATCATGAAACCCTATGGTTAACCCCTTGTCCATCCTCATCCCTCTCCTACCCTTCCCCTTGGATCCTCATACATGCTTGCCTAGTTATCTTGCTGTATCAACAATAATGGTCTTATTCAGCATTTGAAAGACATCAATTCTTTTGTCATCCTTATTCATTGTCCAGCTTTCAGATTGATAGCAAACTTAGTCCTCAAACTGACAACGTTGCTCCTCAGTAATACAGAAAGGCCCTTGACTGCAGACTTGCCCAATACAATATGTCTCATGACTGCCAAATGTATTGATTGTGGATCCAAGTAAGATGAAGTTGTTGACAGTTTCATTCTTTTCTCCATCTATTGTGATGTTCTTGCCTAAAAACTTTTGTTGGTTTTTTTTTTCTTGTTGAGATATAATCTATATTGAAGGCTGCAATGTTTGATTTTCTACCACAAGTGTTTTGAGTTCTCCCACTTTGAGAAAGCAAGGTTATATCATCTGAACAAGGCAGGTTATTGAGGAGTCTTTTCTTCTATCTTGATGACACATTCTTCTTTATAGTCTAGCCTTTTGAATGATTTGCCCAGCAAACATTCAATACAGATTGAATGAGCATGGAGAGAGGATACAATCCTGATGCACGTTTTCCCTGATTTTAAGCTCTGTTGGGACAACAGCCTCCAGATCTATGGTACAGGATTTGTATGAATATGATTGTGCTCTGAGATTCTCATTCTTCTCAATGTCAGCCACAATTTATTTTGATCCACAGAGTCAAATGCCTTTGCATAGTCAATAAAGCACAGATACACAGTCTTCTGGTATTCTCTGCTTTCAGCCAGGATCCATCTGACATCAGCAATGATATTCCTAGTGCCATGGCCTTTTCTAAACTCAGCCTGAAATTCTGGCAGTTCTTTATTCTATCCATTTTTTGGTGTAAGCAATATTTTG